CCCCCCCCCCCTGCGCCGCCCCTTCCTCCCCCCCGCCGCTGAACGGCACGGGCAACGAGACGGCCGGGCCCGAGCTGCCCGACCCCCTGGGGGGGCTGCTGGACGAGGCCATGCTGGATGAGATCAGCCTGATGGACTTGGCCATCGAAGAAGGGTTCAACCCCGTGCAGGCCTCGCAGCTGGAAGAGGAGTTCGACTCCGACTCAGGGCTTTCTTTAGATTCTGGTCACAGCCCGGCTTCTCTGAGCAGCTCGGAAGCCTCGTCTTCATCCTCCTCTTCCTCCTCTTCCTCCTCCTCCTCGTTTTCCGAGGAAGGCGCCGTGGGCTACAGCTCGGACTCGGAGAACGTGGACTTTGAAGAGGCAGAAGGGGCGGTTGGATACCAGCCAGAGTACAGCAAGTTCTGCCGCATGAGCTACCAGGACCCGTCTCAGCTCCATTACTTGCCTTACCTGGAGCACGTCGGCCACAACCACACCTACAACATGGCACCGGGGACCCTGGATCCAGAGGAGCCCAAAGCTCCCGGGGCGGGGAAGAAGAGCAGCAAGGAGAAACCCTCTGAATTCCTGGATAAACAGATGAGCCGGGACGAGCACCGAGCCAGAGCCATGAAAATCCCCTTCACCAACGACAAGATCATCAACCTGCCCGTGGAGGAGTTCAACGAGCTGCTCTCCAAGTACCAGCTGAGCGAGGCTCAGCTCAGCCTCATCCGTGACATCCGCAGGCGAGGGAAGAACAAGATGGCTGCTCAGAACTGTCGCAAGAGGAAGCTGGACACCATCCTCAACTTGGAACGGGACGTGGAGGACTTGCAACGAGACAAGTCCAAACTGCTCAGGGAGAAGGTGGAATTCCTCAAATCCATCCGTCAGATGAAACAAAAAGTGCAGAACCTTTACCAAGAAGTGTTCGGGAGGCTGAGGGACGAGAACGGGCAGCCCTACTCCCCCAGCCAGTACGCCCTGCAGTATGCCAGTGATGGCAGTGTCATCTTGATACCCAGAGCCGTGGCCGACCAGCAGGCCCGGAGGCAGGAGCGCAAGCAGAAGGACCGGAGGAAGTGACCTGGGAGGTGGGAGAGGAGCAGGATGAGCTCCTGGGAGAGCTGGAGAAGGGCCGAGCCTGGAAGGACTGAGAGGAACTTTCACGCCTTCTTATCCGATGTATCTTTCTCGAAAAACCAACCAACCAACCACAAACATTAAAAACAAACCTGTGACTTCAGGGGGGGGGCCCGGGAGAGGCCCACAGGCTGTGAGGGGTCCCCCCACGACAGAGAGAGAGAGGGGGGGGACAGGACCCTGCCCCGGGATCCTCCTGGGGACACGAGCTGGCATCGAGATGGGCAGAGGTGGAGAAACTACTGTTAGGAACTGGCTTTAAATAAGAAAACAAAACAAAAAAAAGAGATTTAAGCAAACAGACTTTAAAAAAAACAAGTTATAGGAGAGACATTTTTCTGAACTTCCAAAGTTCTGTGATTTCAGGTAGTTGGGTTTATGATTATTATTATTTTTTTTTTCCCCTTGTTTTGTTTCTTTCTTTGTTTTTTTCCCCCCAATCCTTTTCCTTGAACCCCTTTTGACATCGGTGTGTGTGTGATTCCAGATGAACCAACATCCCTTCCTCCCTCAGACCAGTGCCCACGTGGAGGGGGTTTGACTCCCATTAACCCTCTCCAGCCCGAGGGAGCTCGGAGGAGGAGGAGGAGGAGGAAGAACCCTGG